ACGATCGAGTCAGTTCGGGAGCAGATGGTGACCCACAGGAAGAAAGGAAAGCTTGTTGTCTTGTGGTCGTCAATTCCGTGTCCGGAGGATGTCCGTTTCAGTATATTTGCATCAAGAAATTTGGTCAGGACTACATGGGTCATCTTCGAGAATTGTACCGAATTCAGACGAAGCTATGGAAAGGTTTCTTACGGATGTCGGAAGTAGCCGATTTTGCAGCGATTGAATGGCCGAAGAGATGTGCTTATTGGGGATGGAATCAGACTAGAGATTTTCTTAGGAAACGGAAGACGTTTTCAACATTTGTGGATGCATGTTCAGTCAAGTTGAGCCAGAAAGGTCAGTTGATCAGAAAGACCTGGAGGATTGATACCGATAGTACCCGATTGTTGGAAAGCCTGAAGGTTTGCGTTTGTGATGGTCGTCATGATCATTTGCCGTCCAAGTAAGTCAATTGGAAGGAAACGCAGCATTACCCCAGAAAATTTTGCGAGCTAATCCTTTAAGGATTTAAAGCCGAATTAGAAGCATAAGAGCCAAGCAAGTCTTGCACGTTGTCTGAGCCGAATGGCACGTTTTTGCGAGCGCTTTCCATTGCGCATTTCGAAAGAATCTTGGTTTTTGCAGACTGTGAGATAGAGCTTTTCTTGGAATGAAGCTTATACCATCCGAGGTATGATGCTGGATGTGGAAACGGCGCTTGCGGCGCTTAGCCTGGCCGCTTTGGCCTTTGCAGCCGGTTTTCTTTTGGGATGCCTGCTGACCTGCTGCTGCCTGCGGCGTCGGGAGCATGCTGAGCCTGAGAGCCAAGTGAATTTTAAATTCGAGATGCCGAAGATCTTACCAGTTCCGAAAGGCATTGAGCAATGCTCAAAGGTGTATTTTTCAGTGAGTGGGAGCAAGGCTCATTTGAATCCAATTTGCTCGGGCATGCGCGTACCTATGTCGAAAGATATTTGTGCCAAATGTCTGTCCTCATTGAAGAAGAATAAGAAGGCTTGAAGTCAGCCAGTTCGTTTCGAGCTTTGTGTCCAAGAGGGGGTGAAGAAATTCCATGTCGGGATGTCCACCTCGCTCGATGCTTGCAGTTTGCGATGCATAATTTTCGTTTGAGTTTGTTTGTGAAAGATTTGGAACCTGGCGGTGGTACAACATTTTGTTTCTTAATTGTTTGAAAGCGACTTGCAGCGTCGTCGGAAGTTTTGAAAGAGTTCTTTGTGTGTGGAGATACTTTAAGGGACTTTTAATATGTTTTTGATGTGTTCTTTGTATAGTTTAATGCTACGGGATATATTTTGGCTCAAGGCCAATTTGTTTGGTTAGTGTGAGAAAGGGTGCGAGTGTCTGAGAGCAGCTTGTGCAGCGTTTGAAGTTTTCCGAAGTGTTCGGAGGTTTGAAGGAAAGGTTTCGTACCGTACCGGACGAGTGTGAGAGCCTGTTGTGAGCTAAAGATCCAGGGGAAGCAGGTAGTTTACCGTATAAGGTTGCTACCCGATATTTTTTCGTGATTCCCCACAAGGGTCAACAGCGGTTGCTCATGGTAATTTATATGCACTATCATACGGCGCAAATGGGCTCGGTTGTCACCATAAACAGTGGCTCCTCGATCGCTAATGGCAATGCACCGCTGATGGAACAAATGAATGGTGTTTCCTTCATGTGAGACTGTCAGCTTTTGCAAGGCAGCTGGGAAGGTGAGATCTTCGGTCCACCCAGGGACCGGGTTTCTGCTCTTTTCGGTGACTGCATCTGTCGGGAAGAAGTGCAGCAGATAGCATTGAGCTCGTTTTCTTTTACGGAAACTGAACCTCCACGTCTAACACACCATCGCGAATGTCATTGTGCTGTAGTTCGAACCGAACGAACGAGGTAACATTAACAGGTTCTCCATCATCTTCCAGCTGCACCGGCTCTTGTGGGGTCTGCGTGCCTGGCCACGCCGCTTCCCAGGGCGGAACCAACAAACCAGACGACCCTGCCATGTTCCAGCGTGCGTAAGTGCAGACTGGAGACAGGGAGTGTGGCCATCGACAGCAAGAGTGGCGGAACTGCCTCCATTAGGGCCAATCACCAAGTTGCTGCAGCACTTCGCTTTGTTGATTGGCAACACATTACAACCAATGAAGATGCCAAAGCAAATCCCCCCCCCGGCGCCAACCATTCAAACGCACAACTACATTGAGCGATTGCTGCCACATAACTCAGAGGGTAGCGATGCCACGCTGGTCCTCACCACCACCCGTAACAGCGCGCTTGCGCTGCAGGCACATTTCCAAGGGCAAGCAAGCCAATGCGGAAACAGCAGTTAAAGCGGCGGGAGCCACTGCGAGGCATTGCATCGTGTTGCATGGACGAACCACTTTTCTCAGTGGGAACAGCACAACAGTGACTTTGATTCGGAATGCTACATTCGTGCAAATGTAGCTTACAGTCAGGCTGGATCTTACGGTCCTCGCATGCCCTGTCAATATGCAAGGTATCCCAGGTGCCCTGCAAGTTATCGCCTCTTCTACACGGAGTATGCACCCTTCGCACCAGCAATTCGTCACAGCCGGAAGTCGTAGGCCACCTCGATGTTGCTGCAACCTTCATTGGAGACGCCACCTCCGCTTTCGCAGAAGCCCTAGAGCCACATGAACTCCCCACAGAGCACCATGACGACAAGGCGAGGCGCTTACGACTCGTTCTTACCAGCCTGTCCCTTCTCTTCAATGCGGAAAAATCATACATGCTCAATGGAGTCCACTTTCCGGGCCACACCACAGAGAGTGGACTTGCTAGCACGACCTCTGCATGGATTGTCCTTCCAGACAGCCAGCACACAGGAACCTGGAAGCTGCTGCACAACTGCAGTGCAGAGAAGCAGGCAACAGGTTTAGCGTGGGTAGCACAAATCGAATCAATATCTGCCTGCCCATGGGAATCTACCTGCAAAAAGATGCAAGACTATGTTCTTGTTTGTGTTGTTTGGGGTTTGTTTGTTCTTGTTTGGTTTGCTTTTTGCTCTTCTGCAACCTAGATCGTAACTCTCTCTTTACTAGCATAAGATGACCTGTGCAACCTCTGCACACAAGGCGTCTGGATCCGTGCAAATAAAAAAGCAAAAAGATGCAAGACTATCGCTTTGCATTGCATAAAATTTGTTTCCATGATGCCTGGAGATCGGATCCGGTTCTTGATGCAGAGGGGTCTGACCTGGCATTTCCCCCCCCTATGAGGGTCTCCTTCGTTTGGGGATGCTGCTGGCCCACACATGAAGGAGACTCCCCTGTTCAGATTGCATCGGATGATGACCCAACTGAGCACTCCGGACAGGCAGAGGACCCAGATCAAGCCAGAGGCGAAGAGGCAGAAGAAGAGGCTGTTGCCATGGAGACTGGTGAGTCTGAGGCGATCATATCCGTTAGTGGCACTGCCGCATCCGACCTAGAGGCGCATTCTGAGAACCTCCACACTGAAGCCCCTCGGAAGAAGCAACTGAGGCTGACTGCCACATGGCAGGAAGTGAAGAAGAAGCCGCAAGTCCGACAGTCGCAAAGCAGGCGGCCACCTCAGTGACTGTCCTGCAAAGCCCTCCTCAACAGCCGACTCTCCTCAGTCCCCACCCCCGCAGTGTAAGGGAAACAGATGGACACTGAGGTGCGATGAAATCTAAAGCTGCCAAACCGCAAATCAGCGCCAGTACAGGCCTGCTGCGAAGCATACCTGAGAACAGCTCCGGAGGAGCAGACGCGTGAACCTGCACAGACCCTGCCAGGGCTTGCCAGCTTGTCCATCTCCCAAGCCGAAGCCTCAGCGGCCACCTGTCCGGGGTGCTGGGTGAGGTGCCTGCTGATGCCCTCGATGCTGTCAGGTGCCATGAAGGAGATTTACCTTGATGACGACAGCTCCCCTGGCAAGACAATTGAGCATGCAGGCACGGTGTCAACTGACCTGGCAATCGCAGCGGAGCAAGCTGCTATGCAGGCAATGTACAACTTCCAAAGCCTCCCACCAAAGCCCAACTCAGCAGGTTGCACTCCCTGCCCTGAACCTCCACACAATGCTGCCGCGTGAGTGGCCGCTGGCACGCATGTGCATCTCGCGCCGGCAGGTCAACAAGTGCTAAGGACAACTATTTGGAGAGGGTCGCCGAATGCGGCCTCCGAGGCAGCAACTTCGAAAGAATCTCAGATCTGATCCAAACTGACCTTGTTGGTCGTCTGCAATGCTCTCGCGACGCCGCTCGCGAACCTCTTCTCCTTTCTTTGCAATGGCCATCTGCACAGCTGGCCTCAAATGCTGATCTGAACTTTTGGCAATTTGGGCTCCTCTCGTTCTGCTCTGGCTACTGTTGTGCGCACAATATCAACAAGTTGATTGCCGACCAGCGAGCAGCGCTGCTAGTGAGCTGGCCCGGTTGCGAGCCTTAGCTTTCGACCGGTGTCCGCACGCGGCAGTTCGAAGTCCTCAAGGATGATCGAATCGAAGCACTTGCGCAGCAGATGCAACAAGAGGCAGAGTTGAGTTCAGATGGTGCAAGGTCAACCGGCTAACAGGCCATGCGGTGTATACAAGTCCGGCCTGCACGGGATGACACAGCACATATTGAAGAAAGGAACATACATGGATCCACGTGCTGTAGAATTTAGTTTTTCATGTTCTATTTTCGAGCATCCCATCAACAGAAATAGAGACTGCTCGCTACCAGCTGCATTTTCGTCAGTTGCTTTGCTTGTGTTATTACATGACATAGAGCTTTGAGGGTTTACCGATGCACAACATGCATCCAACCACATTCCTGCCAGCATTCCAATCGCAAAGCACGCTGTGGCTCAAGTTTTGCAAAATGTTCAAAGTCAAGTGCAGTCCAGAGTTAAACAAGTTCGCCAGTGACAGCCAACAGGAGTCTCAAAGAGTGCACAACAAAGTTTCAATGAGATTCACTTCAATGGTGCGCCCTCTTCACACAACAGCTGACATGCTTTCACCTCTTCATTCTTTCCGCTTGGCGGCATGTAATGGATTCTCTTTCTAGAGGGCCATTGCTAGGCGCACCGATCCTGCCCAAGCAGACGCCAAATCCGGCCAAACCGTTTGATGAAGCGAAGCAGTCGCAGCGAAACGAGACAAAAATCAAAACACAAAGACCATGAAACGACAAATCCGACGGTCGATGCCAGCTTTCCTGAAGTCATGGACGGTCATGGACTCATGCAGTAAACAAACGGAGGCACTTGGCCGAAGGACAGGTGGCTTTGCGAATCAAACCAGGTGCCACGCGGCAAGTGGAACTCGGACTCCATGGACTCCGCAGATTCCGTGGACCTGGTCCAATGCCTGGGGGCTGAGGCTGAGGCATTCGATTTTCGGTGTTTGTCAGCTGTTGCTCGCATATTGACACCACGCTTTCTGAAGTTCCCAAGCTAGAAACCAGCATTTGTAAACCTTTTAAGGCATACATTGGATGCCAAGACTAGACCATCCAGAAAGCTGTTGCAGTCCAGGCCGGTAGTGAGTGACATGTTGTGGCGGAAAACAAGGAACAGAAGTGAACCAGTTGTGAATCGTGAAATTAAACACAGAAGGATTGGCACTTCAAACTTGTTCTCGATTGTCCATAGATCCGAAAATGGCAAACCTTGATCGAACGTTATGTTTGTTCAGAGGATGTTGCTTGTGGGAGCCATTTTAAGGGCGATATTTGTGGTGCCTTTTCGCAAGACGCAAGACTAGAAAAAATGCTCAATTCAGAAGCTAAGACTTTGATCACTTCTCCTTGTCAGGTCTGGCAGCATTGCTTGCGCCATGGGTGCAGCTGCTTCAAGTGCAAAGCTGAAGGTCTTTTTGCATTGTCTTCTGCCACTATTGTTCGCTGATGGCTTTCGGAAGGGCCAATTCTGAGCACAAGCAGAGAACTGATGAACAAGCACTGTTTCTTGAAGAGATCCTGCACATGTGGAGTAAACAGCAAGTAGTAGTAGGATACCCTACCAAGCCCCGCAAGATGCTTGAAGTCTCAAGCCCTGTTCTTGAGTTCTTAGCACTAAGACCACTAAGACCCACAGGACATTCTCAAGCGCAGGCCTCGAAAAACCGACCAACTCCCCGCGGCAAAGCGGAGGCCAAGGAGATTTTACTCTGCCTGTCGTTGACATGCTGAGTATGAAGTAATCCTGATTCTCGGGTCGACGTTTCCTCACGGCTCCTTCTGGCAAGATCCAGGGATTTTGCAGGGTCTGGACTCTGGACCATAAACTTAGGGAGAGCACTATGGTGGCAGGTAGTTGTATGTTCTTGTGTCTTGCTTTTTTAAAGGACGTTTTCATCACTTGTGTTTTGTGCAAGGATCCTCAGCATTCCACCGCCCGAGAGCGCTTTGAGCAACGACGGAGACAGTGGGCTTGAAGCCTTGGGCATCGATCGGCTTTACAACAGTCGCTTTCGACTGTTGTCATCGTTGATATTCCAAACATCCTGCAGTTGGTTGGTCCTATGAGAAGTAGGAAAGAGTGCTATGAGTCAAGTGCCGGGCTCAAGCTGCCAGCACTTCCAGTGAGCGTATCATCTGAGGCACAGTTGTACAAGTCTGGCCAGATGGAGCAGGAATCTTCTATGAAGCTGCAGGACACTAGCAGACTCATGCTGCTGTATTTCAGAGATTGAACGTCATAGACTCATAGACTTAGACCCTTTTTGTGAATGCAGACAGCAAGTGGTTGAGACGGAAGGCCAAAGGAGAACACAGGGAGCATCAAACAGAACAGAGGCAGATGAAGATGTTCTTTACGAACAGCAAGACGAGCGCAAGAACGAAGACCTCAAGGCCGGGGCTTCAGGATGGGGAAGGCAGCATATTTCTGCTCGAAGGTCACAACCGTTCCTCAACGTATAGTAGAAATTGGTTTCATTTAAAGTGGAGAGCGACAGGAAGGAGTCAAATATCCTGAACATTTAGAGGAACCATTTACCCGTAGAGGGGACTGGGGCAGGCGAAGCTTAGACATCTCACAGATCCAGGTGAAGTCGTTTGTGGCTCAGATGGGCAGCCACAGTTTAGACAGAACAGAACACTAGTTGCTTTCTTTTGTTTTGAGACTTTATTGATCCTCCTCCTGTACGCTTGAGCCTTTTTGAGCCCTTCTAAGCCCTTGCACGAGGTTAAGCGTCTTTCTCGTCTGACTGGAGACCCATGGGAGTTTGGAGCTGCTGCCTCGGTGGCAAGAAGAGGCAGATGGTAGGACAGAGTTCTGTCCTTTGACAGCAGGAGAGTGATAATGCAGTGGTTAGCAACTTTGCTAGTCGACTTCACAGCAGTTAACACCAGAATCTGCTAGCACTGCTCAGGTTGAGTGTCTCCTGTCCCTTGGGGATCTTTCCTCAGCACGTGAGGCTGTTCTGGCTGCTAGGCACTTCTGGCTGCTGCAGCTTTTGTCGTGGCTTTCTCATCTTCAGTTCCATGTCCACTCTGCCTGTGGGAACTGTTTGGGAACATTCTTACACAATTTCAAGGAGCCTGCCTAGCTCGGACGAGTGTTTGTTGTTCACTGCACACTTTTCTCAGGTGAAGTGCCCCCCCAGCCCCCTGTTCCTCGCCGCTCCTGCGCTGGGTCAAGCGGTCCAAAAGTGGCCAGATATCATAGGGCACAAACAGTATGGCAGCATTGCATAATGATTTTAGACGCTTGCGCGAGAACCAGATACTATTGTTTAACAATGTTTAACTAAGCTTTAAGAATGGCTTTCAAGCAATTGGTTGGTAAGCGGATCCATCAGTTCTCTATGCTTGTGCAAATTGGCGACCAACCATGAGAGGCACGGCTGGAGTGACGACACATTGGAGCCAGGGTTGGTGTGGAAGTGTCTACAACTTGATCAAATCACATGCTTGCGAACTTTGGGATACATGGCTTCTCATACGCTTTTTGGTCAGCTTGTCCTTGTCAGGCCTCTACTTGTGGTTGCCAGTTCTCCTTGCAACGCTTGCAGCAAGCAAGGCTTGTGGGCATTGCTTACAATGACATGGCACCAACATCTCAATCTTGAAGTGTCCTGATAAACTTGCCGTGCTTGTTGTCCCTTTCAGGAGGGAGAATATCGTGAGATCGATGATGTGATAACTCAGGAGTGACTGCAGCAGCGGGTAATGCTCAAGTGGCAGAACTGGTACCAATGGTATCAACGGCACCTAGTTGCACATTGGCACGAAGCTTTCAAATGTTTTTTGCCAGGAGATAGAGATGGCAGGGCTTACTCCACCGGAAGAAGATGAGGCACAACAACCAAGTCGCAGCAACCAAGCCACTTTGGCAATCGGTCAGAGCAGTGGTTACGAATGCCAGGAGCCAAAGAGCAAGGACCTGACCGCGGCGACATTTCTATTGGGAGGCGTTACCTTTGTGATGTCTCTCTTCTACTTGGTGTTTCTTGGCCGCACATATTCAACTTGCATCGTTCTTTCGCAAGGAACGACAGACATTCCTTTTGTGAGGTCGTACTGTGCTAGCTGAGGAATCATCCGGACATGGATATTCGACAGCACACCTGGAAAGTGGCTCGAAACAAAACTCATACCAGCTTTTAGGCACCACATTCCAGTTGTACTATGGCCATAGGGTTTCTTTTGCATGTGTTTATATCTGAATTTAGCTGATCTGATCCAACTCAGGTGATTAATGCCACCGTTTCAATTTTTGTCTCAGTTCTGCTATTCCAGGCCTTTTCGGGGGGGAGAGAGTTGTTGTCCCAAGAGCTATTCCCACCGCTCAAAATTCTGCAAGCGCGGCCTTCAGAGAACACCAGGCCTTCTCTGAGGGATTGGGTTCCCAGCCAAGATAGCGACATTCTTTGTGATTTTCATTACGTGGCACCTAGTTGAAACCAGAAATCATATCCTGTGAAGCGTTTGGTTTTGTAGGCATTGCAACCGAACATGCCAGGGCATCACAGGTGTATCTGATGCTATCAGCGACACCAATCTCCAATCACAGTCGCATCAAACGTCCGCCAAGATCGGTTTCTGAGCTGCAAAGATTGGTTTCTGCGTCACTCTTCGTCCATCAGTCCATGCCATGTGCACGAGCAAATGGAGGCAACTGCATAGACCATGCGCCTGAGCGAAAGAACTATTGTATATCTTTGTTCTAGACTCTTGAGAATATGACAACTCAGACTCAATTGTTGCTCAAACTGAACTGATTTATCCAAAATTGTGAACCATGGGACCCTACCGTAGGGTGAGACTAGCAGTTCGTCTTCCGGTCAAAGTACCAAAGCAAGAACTTTGGACAACATCAGCAGGAGCTCCGACATTTCTTTATTCTTGACTTGAGTGGCTTTGTCCGACTTTCAAGCATTTTGGTGGCATGGTGTGGCTCAGGCTTCGCCTATTTCATGTTCTTCATTTTCTACTGTTCCTTGCTCAATGAAAGCGTAACGGACGAGGGGGTTTCCTGTGCTGCCTGCACGGTGTGCTTGAGCTACTAAGGCACTCTTCACTTGATCCTGTACAACTTGTCCTACTCGACTGGATCTCAGTGAGCCGCACTGACGACTTTCTCCTGATGCGTCGCTCTGGTTTCTTGTGTTGCATCAAAATCGGATCTGTCGTCTTGTGAAAGGAAAGAGGACTCTGCCACGGAGATTGCAGCGGTGCAACGGAGCAGTAGCGTTTTGGCCTCTCGGCCAACGACGACCGGTCCAGGTTGTTCCGCATCACTAATCGACGGGGTGAGTCATGAGCCTGTTGCGATCGAGGCCTCCTTGGAAAATGGCACCTTTGAACAAAGACGCAGGCGCCAGGCTGGCGTTCCAATTTTGGTGCTTTTGTCCAAGATGTGTGGTGAGAACAAAGGAAGACCGGGTTGGAGGTTAACTTGAGTAAAGCGCTTGATTCTACTCTAAGGCTACACCTGGTATCCTTGCAGTAGTCTAGTCCACATCAGTGCTCCTGCAATGCACAATCTGACAGTAGCCCAACCCCAAAACAACACACCAGGACAGCTACAGCATCAATCAACAACCACAATGACAAGCCATGATGGCAACATCAATGACAAGTCGCAGTGTTGGCTACATCCACCGCAACATCAATGACAAGTCACAAATGGCCGCATGCATAACAAACCACAAAGGCAACATCAGTGACAAGCCACAATAAAAACACCTGTGACAAGAGAAGACGCAATGACAGCAGCAACGACAAAACAATGACGGCATCAGAATAGCAATTGGTGACGCACATCAACATGGCCTGTGCAAGCCCCTTAGTGGGGTGGTGATAGCTGGAATCAAACATGTTCTTTTTCGAGACTCTTTCCTTTCTCACGAGCATCAATGTGAACCTTCAGAAATCCGCTGGCAGATCGCTTGCTGGGCAACTCTCCTGTCCCACATGGCGGGCTTTGCACACATCCGGTGCAGTCTGGACCTGCAACAGCTGGAAATCTTTAAGGACTGGAGTGACCGCCGCAGTGTGAGATTTGTCTCACAGTGCCTGGAATTTCACGGAGCAGCAAAGAGTTCCTTCTTGCATTGGAATGATTGGAAGTCAAGCGGTACGGCGGTACATATATATATATATATAGGTGCACAGATTTCCTGCTGACGTAGACCACCTTGTTTGAAGCTCACTACCTTGTCGGGAGATTACTCAAGCAGCAGAGTGCAGGATGGCTACTTGGTTGTGGTTCCAACTCTACTTAATGCCTGATCCTCACAGCAGCAAATTCTAATAGTTTACATCAAATTGATTTGCTTACGTTCTTGGTGTGAGTTTTGTGTCAGCGAAAGCGGAGAGTAGTATGCACAAGAGTAGGTGGTCAAAGGGGCATTGGAGCTTTTCCTTGCATTTCTGCGCTCAGTTGAAATCTTCAAGGCACTCCTCCTAGTTGGAATCTTCAAGCTGTCCGATGGTTTGCGAAGCTACTTGGTCAAGCTCTGAAGTGTTTCGGAATGGAGCCAGTCTTTGGTCTTCCTTTGACGAGGGCTTCATACTTTTACAAATCAATTTTAGTGTACGCACCACGCAAGGCCGCTATATGACCTCGTCAACGACGGCTGGCTTCAATATGTGGGAGGAGGGCGCAGAGGCACGCAGATTCAGCGGCGTTTGCCAGTTGGGTGTTTTGGGTATATAAATCATATTCAATTGGATTCTGTCATGTCCTACCCCTTCCAGTATTTCTGGACCAGTTACACCAGCACTTGGGCAGTTGTAAAACCATCAAACAGGTTTTGAGTCTTGAATAGTGATCTCCCTTTGGTCAGCCAGGTCTTTGAAAACATCCTCCTTTTATGCAACATACACTAGAGAAGAGCTCTCACGCCATAATTGTTGGTCCAAAGATGCTTGTTTTTGTTTGCCAGATAGACTTGTTTGTCGCTGAATAGAATGGTCCCAATCCACCGAACAGGGCCTTTTTTCGGGCCACAGGGCCGGAGGCAGGGCCGCAGGGCCCGTGAATAGTGCCCAACGCCAGTGCACACGTGCACACCGCCCACCGAGCAGGAAGCTGAAGATGACGCTGGGCAGCCCAGAAGTGTCACGCTCCTGGCGTGGATGGCATCGCTGCGCTGTTTTGATACTTCCACTTTGCTGTTGCCAATTGTCACAAAGCATGAGCTGATGTTATGAGTCTTGCTCTCAGATTGCAGCCATTGGCATTTCCTTCTCCATGGTAGTGCCTTTTCTGCAAGATCCAAATGCTAGCAGAAGGTGCCAGCGGCATTTGGGGCAAATCAGAAACCAATGGTAGCACAGATTGGAAAACATCAAGCGCAGCTCCCTTTTGATCTAGAGCAACTTTTTGAGATTTTGTGTCCTGGCATCGTTTTGATCTCAGGTTGTGCTACGCAATTTGCCTCAATTCAGAGAGCATTGAAAGCATCAACAGCAAAGAGCGTCCTGGAACCCTTAGAATCCTTGGAACTTGACTCGTTTATATATATATATATATGGAATGACGCCCCCGGAAGATAAGACGACCAGTTTTGTAGTCCTTTTTTCTCATAGAATTTGGCTCGAAAGCAGCTGATGCACTGTAGGGACTGCGGCCTCCTAACTACCGGGGAGACCGAAGTTCTGTGCTCGTTCTGTCGCAGCCGCCACAGGTTTTGGCACATCCTGGACGACCTCTTGCGGATTTGGACTAGCGTGCAGACAAGCACAGTGAAGTGGCGCGTCAGCGGGAGGCAGCAGAAAGGACAGCGACATCCATGGCGAGGAGTCCTGCATCCATCCATTCTCTTGCTGCGTGGAGAGACGGGAAGACAGGAGTGAAGGAAGAGGGCAAGCCTGACAAAAGCTGGTTGCCAGTGAAGAGAGAAGAGGAGCGTCCGAAGAGCCCTCTTGCCAGGGAGGTCGGTGTCGTCGACATTGAGGAGGAGGGGAAGTACTCCAGTTCATCCC